TGCTTCCCAAATCCAAAGTAAATGAAAGAAGGTAGATTAATATTTTGACTTTATCATCCTAATTTATAGTTTCATAGTTTTTTTTTAGCAAGAAATATTTCAATATAAATTAAATTTAATGCATAGATCTCTGATTATATTCAAAATGATCGGTTAGACGATGTGAATCCAATAATACCAAAATTGATCTAATACAAGTCAAATCAACCTCGAATCAAGCTAAGAAACTATTTTTGGAGGCTTTCATTGTCTTTTTGGGGGGTCAAATGAACTCTAAATTTGACATGTTTATAATTAAATCGAGCGTTCGATCATGTCATAAAAAAGAACCTCTATGATCATGGGGAATTGATAAGGGTCGTGCAATCGGGCGGTTATGATGGTCATTCGTCAAAGGATTAAATTGCATCTCTTGAATGACATTTAAATAGACATCATCTCTTCACTTGGAGAGAGAAAAGGAGAAATGAAAAGAATTACCTCATTTATAGTTTGTTTTTGACTGAAGACCCGATGAAAACCTCCAACCTCTATAACTATCAACCATCGTTACCTAATTGTCGTTGATTCCTGTCGGTAGCCCTTTATTTCTCGTTGTTAGTGGACTTTACATAATAACAAAGTAACCTGAGAAGTAACGACACACATAGTCAAACAGGGAAGTATCCCGCAGAACAACAACGCACATTACGAAATAATGAAGTACTTTATTTTGTGGCGAAGATGAACACTATAAGAAAATAACAAAATTGTGTTTGTATTTGCAAAAGTCAAGTTCTGACACAACAATTTGCATTAAATTTGTGTCTAACATCCGACGAGAGATGCCAACGCAAAAATATTGCTTTGCAGCGACATATTCGTAGTTAACATTATCACTTAATAGTGAATATAAAAAATGTCTCTATTTGCAGATTTTTTAATAATAAAAGAAAAGACATGCCTAAAGGGCTTGATATGCGAGGCATATTTGCTACATGGACCTTTTGTTCTTATTTTTTTGGTAACATCAACAAATTCATCAAACTGTTAGTGAGATATCCTCGTAGTCTGAATTATCTATATTTTAGATAACAAGAGAAGCATCGTGGATGCATGTTACATACTACTTGAATGATAAGAAGCTTTGAGCAGTGACTTTCTATGTTATTCTTAACTGTGGTAAAATCCAACCATTTATATGTTAAGATTTTTAGTAATTATAAATTATTTGAATTATTACTCAAAATTTAAAACTATGTTGCTCATATAACTAACGATAATACAAGCATGTTATTTATGAGCAATTTAAATAAAGAAGATGAATTTATCATAAACAAAAAGAATGAAGAAGAATTTTTGACATGATTCAAATTATACGCACTTTTATGTAACTCTTCAGGTCACCAGTATGTAAGTTGCACGCTCAAATAAAAATTAATCATATTTTGAAATTTAAAATATTTTCATAATAAGAGCAATGGAGTTATGGATTAAGGCTTATTAGATCTTGCATAAGGGTTTAATCACAACGTCACTATCCGATAAAGATTAGATATCAATGGTTATGGATTTTGAATGAGTTTCTGATGTGAAGAGAAGAAGACGTGTAATTGTGGTGTCTGTATTAAAGAAAACACCCACTCGGATAGTGAGATCAACTACTACGATATTCTTCATAAAATAGTGTAGTTGTGATATCCATGTTTTGTTGAGTGCAATGTATATATGTTCAACTGTGAGTGATTTAATCATGTTCTTAATTGAGGTACAAGACCATAAAACCCATATGATATCACTGAAGTTGAAATAAATAAAAGATATGCAAAATTTGATCTTTTTATTCTTGCACATGAAACTAGTCAGGTTTATTATCTTAGATCCCTAATAGAGCAAGAGACAATTAATTCACTCATGATTATAAAGAGTAAACCTAGAAGAACTATGGAGACACAAATTATTATTGAACATGTTCATCAAGAGCAAGACATGTCATATTTTCATGGTCAGCTTCATTCTATCAAAAAAAGGATTACCCTCGAGGATATCATTTGGACATATAAAGAAGTTTCTCAACTTTTGGATAAGTTTGATGATGATATGAGCAAAAAAACTTTAAGTTCATCATCAAATAACTCGTTTGATGAAACATACTAAAAGTGGTATAACTTTTTCAATACCTTTAGTAGTGTTAGTTTTCTAAATTTCACATTGCTTGTTCTATGTGTCTTGGTTTTACTTTTGGTGTTTTTCCTCCTGATGTCTCGTACTTATACTTAGTTACGAGATTTTTCTTATTTTCATTGTGCATCTCCCTACTTTCACTTTTGTTTCTTTTATATTCACTTCTAGTGTGGTGTGTCATGATAGTATTTATTTAATGCTTATATTTATAATATTTCATCCTTATTATTACTTATGTTAATTTTTTTCATCCTATTACAGATGACTTCAAGTGGGAGCAGAGATTAGCCACCTCGGCAGCATAATCAGGCCAATATTCTTTACAAAAAGACAAAGAGGAGAGTTTCTCGCTCTTGCTCATACAACACTACTATTGTGTTGGTCAGCACCACTACCAGCGTACGGGTGCTCGCAGGTCTAGATGTTCTACTCCTACCATTTCGAGGCAGAACACCTCTAGTTTGCTATATATTGAGCCAGAAGGAGATTGGTGAGTTACCAAAATTTAGAATAAATTGAATTACTTTTGGTTGCATTGTATAACTAATATTTCTATTTTACTTTTGAATTAACTAAATTGTATAACAGGTTATGCAAATCATGGGAATAATTGGCAGTAGATGCAATACAATGTATCTCTGCTAGAGGAAGAACATGATCGTAGTTCATGATAAGTGGTTAGCAAGTTCAAGCTAAAATCAATTGATTTGAATAAAAAATATGTTGTAAGTTATTTTATTATGATAATAAAAAATGCATGTCCTTTTACCAGCTGCTTGAGCATCATCAAAAGAACAGACATAATTTTGAGGATTGTGCTAGGCATAAGCTACATGATATGTTTTCACAAAGGCCCATAAAAAGAGAGAGTGTGTGTGTGTGGTCAATCTGGGTTAGGGAGGAGATATGGGCAATTCCTAATGCCAATCGCCTCTGTGACCCGCTTCTTTGCATTTGACATTTTGTCGACGTAAATCCACCTGTAACAAAGCTTTGTGTTAGATTTTTGTCCTATTACAAGTAGAAATGTCTCATGCTAATATGGCAAAATTCCTTTAGATGAGGCCTTCTGCATATGAAGTAACGTAGTGTTATAAACATTGTGCAATAATATACCCCAAAAAAGAGATATCAAAGACCCGCCAATAGCTTCCAATAACAATTATTTTCGATTGTTGTACATCGAACAACACTGTGTACGAACATTATACTTGGAGAAATCTTGTAACTGTTTTTTGGTTGTGGGATAAGGGTTTATCTTCTTACTTACAAGCTTAAAGTAGATCATTTCAATTAGGCAAAGACCCCATCCATGTTTTTCTTCCTCTCTAAACATTTCCACATAAAAATTTATGGTGTCATCTCCTGTTTCTTTTTATTATCTCTTCACATGTTGGGGTTTATACGATGCTAAAATTTAAATTATTATTCTACCTCCACGAATATTTTGCCACGTGAAAAAAACTAGCCGATAAATTAGCTAAGAATATATTATAAACTAAATCATGCAAACATAATTTATTTCAAGTTATCCCCAATTCAACATTAGTTAAATAATCATAAATACAAAAAGTAGAGAAATAAAGTATAGTTAATTGAGTCTAAATAGGCTTTAATATTGGTCAGTTCATCCATAATAGATTTCGAAAAGCCTAAATAAATAAAAAATTTGAATGAATTTGAACAAACATTTTCATAACTTTATGGTATTGAAGACTTTATTTCCACAATTAGGAGTGTAAACGAGCCGGCCACGAGCGAGCCCGAGCTCAGCTCGTGCTCGGCTCGTTTATATTTCGAGCTCCAAAAATGTGTTCGTGTTCGGCTCGTTTGCTTAGCGAGCCGAACACGTGTTCGG